CGCTGTAGCAATTTGGGGAGTGAACTAGCACATGGAAGATTCTCTCTCTCTTTCTCAGCCTTTCAAATAAAGAAATAAAATAAATAAATCAGAAGATTCAAAATGTGGGGAAGAATGGAGCACAAAATATGGAGTTATTAGAATTTATGTTTGCTTTGTTGTCTCCATGTCTGTATAATCAATGTTAACCTGTTATCATTTCAAGACAGTTTGTTATAGCCAAGAGTAGATTTTTGCAACCCTCATGTAGATTATTTTTGATATTCTACATAGTCTAACATACAGCAGCAAATAATCATAGCTTTGCTCCTTCTTTGTACTGTCAACTTATTTTTCTAGTTTTAAATGTTGGTTTTGACTTCTGCTATAATACTGATTATAAGTGATAGTAGCCTCTCTGTAACCCTTTCAAATAAACAAACAAACAAACAAAAAAAACTTAGAAAAAAAAGTGATAGTTGCAGACATCTTTGTCTTGGTCTTAATAGCAATGTGACTACTGTTACTGTTAATCTATTTGGCATAGCATTTGATGTACAATTTAAGATACATGTTATTTTCAATTTAAGGAAGTACCTTTATCAGCTGTTTTTAATTTAAAAGCTTTTAAAATTGTTTTTAAATTAGGGAATAATACTGAATTTGTGCTATTTCTTCTGTTGTTTCTGGTTCATTTCTTTCTCAACCATGTAGCCCCTTTTAGGCTGATTTAATGATTAGGTTTTCTTCTTTTTATGTAGACTAATTTGTAAGCTAGAAACTATTTTCATTTTTCCAATGTTTAATTTTTAAAATGGACAAATATTTGTATATATTAATTACATATACCATGTTGTTTTGCACTATACACAGTGTAATCACTAAATTGAAGTTAAATTTAAATTACTAAATTAACATAAACACAAACATTAATCAGCTACTTTTTGTTATCAGAACACTTAAAAGCAATTTTTAAGAATACATCATTAACTATAGTCAGAATATTGTACCATAGTTCTCTTGAATGTATTCCTCCTATCTCACTGCTCGACTACACTTTCAAACCTTTTTAAAAATTTCTGAGATTGTGCTAGACGTGTTGTTACAGTTCAATGAAATAATTTCTTTCAATGTGTCTGGTTATTGAGCAGTTTCCACCTTAACTTTGGGCATATTCAGATTGACAAGTGTTCCCAGGTTGGTTATGGTAACAATTTTTATCAATACATGCTCTACTTAGTCAAAGAAAAAACTAGTCTAATCCTGTGTTAGCTCCTGGGATATCATTGTTGGTTCATCAGCAATTAAAGCATTTCAGTCTGTGTTTTTTTTTTTTAGGTTCCTACTTATTCAGCTTTTGGACTGAGTGAACATATTTTATTTTCATATACGATATATGATATACATTCTATTATATTAATATATTTATTTTATTATTCATTCATTATGTTATTCATTATATTATTTTTCCCCTGCAATTAGTTTAATGGATATACATCCTTTTACCATTACTTCAATATCAGCACAAATGTTTTAATATACATTCTTAACTTATACAAAGGCTAATATAAAATTGGCATTTTTCATTTCCTTGAACAATTCAAGCTGACTGGAACATTTTTAACTCCATTTAGTTTCCTCTGATTTACATAAATACTGTTTGTTTTAGCTCTCAAGATTTTATTTCTATATTTTTGTACATAATTTTTATTTGGATTTAGCCTATGCTCACACTTTGTACTATTTTTCTTCCTTCCTGTATCTTTAAACTTCAATCTAGGATCATGTGTGGCAGCATATCTACAGTTTTTGTTCATCTGAAAATGTCTTTTTATTACCTTTATTTATAAAACTTTAAAAAGTTCTTTGAGAGACTGAAAGTGACAGTGAGAAGGGGTGGAGGGGACAGATACAGAGTTCCCAAATATTTATAATGGTTTGCAAAACTGAAGTTAGTAGCCAGAAACACACTCCAGGTCTTCTGCCTTCCAGCTTGTATGGGCAGGAAGCTGGACTCAGGAGCCACAGACAGGAATGGAGCCAAGAGATTGCAATATGGGATGCACACCTATCCCTGTGTCTCAGTGTTGATGTTTCTTTCTTTTTTTAAAAAGTTTTATTTACTTGAAAGGCAGAGTGACACACACACACACACACAAAGAGAGAGACAGAGAGAAATCTTCTGTCCACCTGTTCACTCTTTTTTTTTTTTTTTTTTGACAGGCAGAGTGGACAGTGAGAGAGAGAGAGACAGAGAGAAAGCTCTTCTTTTGCCGTTGGTTCACCCTCCAATGGCCGCCGCTGCTGGCGCGCTGTGGCCGGCGCACCGCGCTGATTCAATGGCAAGAGCCAGGTACTTAGCCTGATCTCCCATGGGGTGCAGGGCCCAAGCCCTTGGGCCATCCTCCACTGCACTCCCTGGCCACAGCAGAGAGCTGGCCTGGAAGAGGGGCAACCGGGACAGAATCCGGCGCCCCGATCGGGACTACAACCCGGTTTGCCGGCGCTGCAAGGTGGAGGATTAGCCTAGTGAGCTGTGGCGCCGGCCCCACCTTTTCACTCTTTACATGCAACCCAACAGCCAGAGCTAGACCACAGCCAGGAGCCTGGAACTCCATCTGGGTGTCCCATGTGGGTGGCAGGTACCCAAGTACTTAGGTCTTTATCTGCAGCATTCCCAGGTACAGAAGCAGGAAGTAGACTAGTGGGCACTTGAACCGGCACTCCTACATGGGATGTGGGTATCTCAAGCCACAGCTTAACCCACAGTGCCACAATGTCAGCCCCTTGTCTTAGGTTTTAACAAAAAATTATAAAAAGTAAAAAAGTTTAAAAACAAAAAAATCTCATTCATTAAGGATACAAATAAAACATTTTTGTACAGGTATATCTTTATGTTTTAAGCTGTTACCAAGAAATAGAAAGCTTAAAGGCTTATAAAGTAAGTCTGAGGTCTTGACATTCACTCACCAACTCAACCACAGCACATTCTAGTCCTTCAAGCTCCATTCATTATGGGTTCCCTATATGGATGTACCAATTTTATCTTTTATATAATATTTTTACTGTACCTTTTCTATATTTAGACATACTTAGGAAAACAAGTACTTCCCATATGTTACAATTTCTTAAGGTATTCAGTACAATAACATGCTACACTGGTTTGTAGCCTAGCAGCAATTTTTAAGTACACTCCATCAAATTCCCACAAAGCTGAAATTTCTCAATGATAGATTTTGCAGAATGTATCTACATCATTAAGCAATAAATGACTATAATTATTGGTTTTTAAAAAAACTTAACATGTACAAGTCTTGACTTGAATGTGTGGTCTGCTGATGAAGAATCAAATATGATTTCGAGATTTCTAAAGCTTAATAATGGCTATGCTAATGCCAGAAATAAGAAGTCAAAGGAAGGAAAAAAATTGTTAGGAAGATCACATTGGTTTCTAGATACAACCAAATTTGATGCATTTGGGAAGTACTTAAGTGAAGCTGTTCATATAAACATGAGCACTTTAGATTTGGATTTCTAAAAACAGGTGGAAGTAACTTACATGACTGAAGAGTTGTTTGTGGGAGGGTAATTGCTAAGAGAAAGGAAATGTAAACAGACAGGAACTGCATATAAAGCATGAAGGAATGCTCAGATGCACTTAGGGGATGGAATAATAAGAACCCTTAAAGAAAACAGATGAGCAGTCAGAGTAGGAAAAGGAGACTCCAAAGAATGCAGTTTAATGGAAGTTAATGAGGAAGGCAGTTTAGAGGAAAAACAATTATCAACATGGTCAAATGTGGTTGAAAGGTCAATGAATCTCTGGAATGAAAGAAATCTTATAATAAATATCATCTATCATCCGAGTAGTAAAGGAAAGCAGGAAGGAGCAGGATTGAACAGTATTAAATATTTAAGTGAGAAGAAAGGCTTAGAAAAGAATGGAGACAAATTTAAGAAGTCATTAAGAGAACAATAAATGTATGAAGATTTGAAGTCTTAAGTGGTCAACATGTACAAGTTTGCATAATTTTATTAAGTTTTCAACAAAGTTAGCATCAAGGAGTGATCTCAAAAGAAGCAATGAATTTTTAGGACAGCATGATAAATTCACTTTTGGGCATTGTGAAGATGAGAATGGAGAATAGCATGGATCTGGGAACTAACTACATAAAAATGACAGCTGAAACCAATTGAGTATTTAGATTTTACATATAATAATTTCTATTGGTAATAAAAATATTTTTTCTTACCGAGAAATAAGAGTTAATCTAAAAATCCCTGCCATGTCTTAGTAAATGTTGTTTGTTTTTACTAGAACCTGAAAATTGCCGTATTTTAATTTGCAGAATAAGCCTATTATTCCAAATGGCTATCAGAATCCTAAAACTGTAATTAGTAAGAAAATATTCAGGAAATCTGTCTGATTGTGAATGTATGCATGAGTATAGCATACTTGGTTGTTGAACCAAGATGACAAAATTTTCATACTGTTTTTCTTCTTGTATAAGCAGTATATTATTTGGCAAAAACAGAAACAAAACAAAACATACAAAGGGATACTATTCTACCAATGGAAACCTGAATGACCATAATGGTGATTTAACAATAGATATCTGTTGTAATTAGTTAAGTGTCTATGCTGTATTGGATGTGAAACATTCTAAATATAACTCCTGCTCAATTGATAATTAACTGAATTACATATATACAGTGTTTCAATATTTCAAAAATTCTTAAGTATATTTTTCATACATTACTTTAGGATTACAACAAACTTTCAGGATAAAAAAAAAAACACCAGAGCTCCCACTTTAATGATGATTAACTTAAGATACAGTTATTGTCTATTTCTTTGTTATTGATACTATGCTGAAGTTAAAGCTTCTAATAATAATGACTGAATAAATTCACCTGAAGACTAAAAGTTACTTCACTTGCAATAGAACATGATTATTTTTATTAAATTATATGAGGTTAATAAGTATTAGATTATTCTTATTAAAATAAAATCCTCATACCATTTGGTGATGCCATAACAATCTTTTATAATATTCTGAAGAACAGCACGATAGAAGAGTGATTCAGTAGGCAGCTGAAAAAAATGTAGACATATATAAGTGGAAGAAACAAATAAAAAACAGAAACCAAATCAATACCAGAAAGTCATAACCATAAGTGAATGTTAGAAGGCTAACTTTGTTGCTAAACAGAGAAGAGGACTTTGTAATTTTTCCATTTTAACTTAAAGTGTTACCCTGAGGCTAATCCTCATTGCAAAAGTAATTTTGCAAGAAAAGAGAGGAAGCCATAAAAGAAACAGCAGTGTATGAGGGAGAAAAGTCATAATCAATGAAAAATGAGTTAATGCTCCAAATGGAGTGCTTGTAAGTTAAAAATGCAGAAATAAACTTTGAAGATCAGCCAAGCCAGCGCTGGAGCCTCTAAGAGTCAAGATGGATATGTATAAAAGAGAAGGGAATGTGGCTTTGTCCTAAGGGAGGTAGAACAGATATGATATCAATTAGAAGATAATATCCTAAGTAAGTAAATACTAAAAATATTTCCGAGGCCTCAAAGATCATGGTATTGACTACAGCATAGTTGAAAAGTAGAGCTTTGGCAAGGACGTAGGACGAGACTGATTCTTGGAGAGGCTTCACTTTTAGCATGAAAGAGATGAGAGGTGAAGCAAGGGCTGGAGAGAAGGGCTCCATGGAACATGACAGTTTCTATCTTTCTTCTTTCTTTTAAACGTTTATTTATTTTATTTGGAAGGCAGAGTTAGAGAAAGAGAGACAGAAAGAGATCTTCCATCTGCTGGTTCACCCCTGAAATGGCAGGAGCCGGGTCAAACTGAAGCCAGGAGCCAGGAGCTTTTTCTGGGTTTCCCATGTGGGAACAGGGGCCCAAGCACTTGGGTCATTTTCTGCTCTTTCCCAGGTACATTAGCAGAGAGCTGCATTGGAAGTGGAGCAGTGGGAAATCGAACTGGTGCACATATCAGATGCCGGCGCTGCATGAGGCAGCTTAATCTGCTACACCACAACACCAGCCCCAGCATGAAAGTTTCAAAGAAGTAGAACATAGGAAAATAACATCTGTGAAAGAAAAATCTTCAATGAAGTAACTAAAGAGGAACTCCTATAAGAACCATAAAAGTCATGAAAAACCCTTCCACATCTCCACAAATTTCTTGATATTGAGAGTATAGGAACATTGAAGACAAAACAATGTTAGCAACAACAATCCAACTGACAAGCAAAGTTATTCTTGGGAGAAAAAAGAGAAGAGAAAAATAAGTAAGAATGAGGTGAGGCCAACAATATTTAATGCTTTGGAGAAGTCAAATCAAGTAAAACATACACTGTCCAATGACAGGTATACTTTTAAAGACAGAAGTTTTAGAACGTATATTTTCATGAGTTACCCTTCAGTAACTTATTTTCTTTCAGAGACAAATCATTTAGTTTTATGTTTCCAATCAGAAAAAAATATGTTTGAATTCAGATGGAATTTAGCACGAAATAAAAATTTGTGTGCTCAGGTGGAAAACCTCCTCTATTGCCCCTCTCCCCAGTTCAATGGTAAGTTCCCTAACTGTGGTGCTAAGACAACAAAAAAACAAAGTTGGGGGGTAGGGGTTACTGTCATTTCTTGGGTCATCAGGTGACTGTACTGACCTAAAAAGTCATCAGACTCAAAGGCACCTTAACACAGCACATTGCTTCAAACAGAAATTGTGTTGAAAGAACACAAACAATGTGATCTCTGGAAGATGAGGTAATGCCAGTAGGAAATACTGTTAGGAATATACTAGTCCCCAAATTAACTCCTAAAATAGCTCACCGAGAGTAGACTCATGCATATATTTGAGTGCCCACACTAAAATGTATAACCTTCAAAAGATAACTTTCTAACATAATATCTCTTTCCAATTACAATTCCTTCAATTGAGACAAGAAAAAAACACCAATTTCAAAACTTGCTTTTCCTTGAAAGCTGTGCTAAATACTTTACTTAGAATTTATTATGTTTGAACCAACGGCAAAAGAAAGACCTTTCTCTCTGTCTCTCTCTCTCACTGTCCACTCTGCCTGTCAAAAAATAAAAAAAAAATTGATTATGTTTGATTATATTTTTAATCTGACAATTTTCATCTTGAGTAACTCTTTTCTATAATACTGAGATCTTTATCATCTTTTATTTCTTTGAAAATCCCTTTACTTCTCTTACAACAAACACTAACAAATCTTTGCAAATATTAACAACTATTCTTATAATTGTTCTATTGAAAATCAAGACATTTTGACAAATCTATTGGATGAAGTGGAATACTGTTATTTGTACTATAAACAACTTTCTGTTGTATTAGCTAGAATAGATGGACTATTAATTTTACATAAAACTTCTAAAAATAGTTAAAAATCTTCCTTCTCATGCCATTGAGGAAAACAATATAACTTGGTATCAAGATAATTTAGAAATCAAAGTGTATTTATATTGTTATTAAAAGCAGATTATAGAAACACAAGAACAAAAGACCAAGAAATTGATTTTAAGCAAGAGAACATACAGATGGAACACACAGAGAAATACAGGACAGAATCAATCACTATTCCCAAGTTACCCTGAGAAATAAGAGCTTTACAGCTGTTTCCTAAGAGAAAGGGAAGGGAGTTATGAAGTGCCTTCAAATGTGCATTCCTGGAATAAGTAGAACTATTCATCCTGGTAAATACAGATGGGGGTAAATGGGAAGGGAGTCAACATCTCCCAAGCAGCCTATGCTGGGCTATTCCAGGAATAAACTGGATATGACTCAGAGTTTACGTTCTTCTCTCACAAGTGGTAAATCTTCTTAACACTTTAATTCATTTTAAAAATAGGAGGGAGCAGAAAGTGTATACTCTTAAAGCATACATGCTAGACATGCATTTGACAGGTCTAGTGGAAAAGGTACTAAGCTGAAAGTGAGGGCTCTACAATTAATTATGGAAGCTAGAACACATTATTTAACTTCTGCTGTGGAGCATGCTCTCATGAAAGTCTGGGGTAATACCCAACACATAAGATTGACAAATATTTGGAAAATTAAAAAATAACACACATGATCAAAGCTCGCTTTCCCAGCACCTGGAAAATGACTAAGTTGATATGCAACATAGTAGGTAACAGCCTGAATTCCAGAGTGATACAGATTCAAATGAGCATTTACTACCTAATATTTCCCTCATGTGTATCATGGGATTATTTTTAAGAAAATATACCTTATAATACTATGCATCTATTACCTTAACTGATGAGAACTTTGAACAGTACTTTGGTAAGGTTTGGGTTAGATTTAGCTAAGATTTTCATGACCATAATTATCTATAACATCTAATAATAACAACAGTTTTTTTTTTAGTTTTTAAATATGAGCTGGCATTGTTTTAAGTATTTCACATTTTCATTCATAATACTGAACATAGTCCTATGAGGAAAATATTATTACTATTATTATTATTGTTTACCTATTTTACAGATAAAGACATTAAACTATATAGAAATTGTGATACTGTCCAAAATGATGAAGTGATAAAGACAGGATGTCAACTGGTAGTCAGAGTCTACAACCTACATTCTTCATACGTTCTAATGCTTCACCAGAAATCGTTTTTAACCATTTTTAGATAGCCTGTGAATACATTCAAAAAACAACGACACACAAAGTGCTTATTAACGTTCCTAGCCCAGAGTAAGCACTCTGGATATAACACTTGCTATTGGTATTATTATGTTAAAATCATCATTTAAAAAAATGCAAATGTCAATTTTTAATGTTCCTTGAGGCCGGTGCCGCGGCTCACTAGGCTAATCCTCCACCTTGCGGCACTGGCACACCGGGTTCTAGTCCCGGTCGGGGCGCCAGATTCTGTCCCAGTTGCCCCTCTTCCAGGCCAGCTCTCTGCTGTGGCCCGGGAGTGCAGTGGAGGATGGCCCAAGGACTTGGGCCCTGCACCCCATGGGAGACCAGGATAAGCACCTGGTTCCTGCCATTGGATCAGCGCGGTGCGCCAGTCGCAGCGCGCCAGCCGCGGTGGCCATTGGAGGGTGAACCAACAGCAAAAGGAAGACCTTTCTCTCTGTTTCTCTCTCGCACTGTCCACTCTGCCTGTCAAAAAAAAAAAAAAAAAAAAAGTTCCTTGAAAAGAAGTGAAAGAGTGGTTTCTTAAATTTAAGTTCAACAATAATCCCATGAAAAGCTCTTAAAAAATTCCTAACATGTTTCATGAGTGTAAGATGGAGGATAATGCAATTATATGGATATTTGTGGGATATATTTAACTTTTGTTTATACATGCAAGTCCAGTTGGCTGCTACAATTAATGACTAATCAAGTTAATTTTTTTAAAAAGTGATCAAACAACCAACTGAAATATGTTTTGGATTATAGTTAAATAATACATTCGATGTTATACCTTGTTTATCTTTGCTTGAACTAAGCCCATAAAAGCCTTATATTCAGCAACAACATTCTTTGGAGATATTTATGGTCTGTTTAGTATATGAAGAAGTGAGAGGTAAGTACAAGAGTATAATGTGGAAATTCTCCTAAAAGCTCAATTTACTTTTTTAAAAGTTCACTTTGCTTTTAAAGTAAACATATAAGAATTGTAAAATTTGAATATGTAGCAGTGACAAGAAGAGGTGATATTTATTAAGATCCATCAGGTTTTAAGTTCATCAATAGGTCAAGTATGAAGAGGGTTTGCAAGAAAAACTATCATGATTTAGCTGGATTACAATAAACACTCTCACTTACCCCTTGGCCAACTGCAACTCGCTCCAATGCCTTTAAAAGAAAAAAAAATACAAAGACTACTGATATATTTAGTATATATATCTTATAAGAGTTATAAACACACTGAATAAGAGTTTGTAAAACTGACATTTAAAAAGATTAATTGATAACATGTAAGTTTACACACTTGGGAGTATTAATATTATTAAAGAATGTTAACTAGTGTGCTTATATAATTTAGGACTGATTTATACTGGATGTGTGTCATATACACAAACACATACATAGTCCAATTACACATACTCCTTGAATTTCAGAATGAATTAGCAAACATGACAGAAATGAAAGGACACAGTCTCAACTCATTTTTAGTGTAGCTGAAATAATTATATATAACCAAAGCAATTATTCAATAAACATAAAGACATATAGGTATAACTTACATACTACATTTTGATGTTTTCTTACAATTTTAATGAACATATAATTTTACATTTTACTAAATTAAAATGAACACATAGTTGAACACATAGGTCTAACACTTATTAGAAAAGTATGTATATTTGGATCTGCATGTTCTGCAAATACAAATCAAATTCATAAGTGACCACCAAGTGACAAATGGAAGAGAAAGTGATATATCTCTTTTTACAATTTTATATGTACTAGTTTTCCAATTCATATAACATTTTTACAAAATTTTTCTTAACATTTCTAACAAATAATCATAATCTGTCACAAAATAATTTAAACATAGAATAAAGTCTTCTGAAATATTTCTTTTTTAGAGATATACATTTCCATATTTATAAAGCTTTATAACTAAATTAGTTTTAAAATGCAACAAACTAATTTTACATTTTCCATCAATATTTTTTTAAAATTACAAACATAAAATTTTACCTACAAAAATATTTGAAACAAAGAAAAGCAGTGAAAGTAGAGCAGATTTGCTTATAGTTACTGATCAAAATAAAAACTTACTTCACATTTCAAGGTTTGGATAAGACTATTTAGATAGAGTTGAATCATATGCTTCCAAAATTAAAAAATAATCAGATTATCTTATGTAGATGTGATTTTACAGATGGTTTAAAAAGTCACTGACAAGCCTGACTACTTGCATGAAGAAGCATAACTAGTTAGCAGGTGACCAGTAGCTAAAAAATTTGCTCTTTAAACCTTGGTTTACCTCTGACGTTCCTGCAACATACAGATTTAGGGGGAAGGAAAGAGTTTCTTGTATGAAAATCTGCTATACAATAATTATTTGAAAAGTACAGAAGCAATATAATTTTCCCATTTACTTCAAGGATAATTTCACTGAACATCTAGAGCCAACTAGGATGTTACGAATACAGAAGACAGTTATCACATAATTTTCATATTAAGTTAAATAGTAACAGGCCCAGAACAGATTTACCATTAAAGATGAAAATGAGTTTTCATTTATGGTACTGTAGCCCTATTTTCAAATTAGAATTTTTTATGAATTTTTGCTAAAAGTTTAACAGAATAAAAAAACAAAAGAGCTTAAAATTTTTGGTGTCAATAAAAATGTTACATAACACAGGAGTATTTTTGGTATGTATTGCTAATGAGCTTTTTTAGAAGTACAAATGATGAATTTTGATTACATAATAAAGATAATCAGGAAAGTGATAGAAGTCTCTTGTAAATAATAATATTGTTTCTGGCAATGAATAAAGATACCATATGTTTATCTCATACTAATCTAGAATGTTTTTGCAGTTTTATTATCAGGCTTAAAGTATGCTGACAAATTGCTTAATACAACCATACAAAAACGTACCAAAAGAAGTATGCCTTACACTTTCATAGATTATTTTGCAATCAAAAAAAGAAGTCAAGGTAGCCAGAGACTGGGATGGGAACCAAAAAGAGGGGTATTCCATGGGCAGCTGATATTGGTCAAATAAAGTGCTTAAGCACAGCAGAGTTCCAAATTCATTTTTTTGAATTTAATTTTCAGAATTTCTTCCTTTTCATTCTTTGAATAAATTTTTGGTTTGTGAGTTCATTATATTCCTTTTTCTTTTTAAGATATATTAATAGCTGTCATTTTATTTTGAATAGTCTCCATATCTTCCAAGTTGCTTTTTTTCAATTTATTTTTATCTGATTTCCATTTTAAAAACAGATTTAGTTATTTATTTGAAAGGCAGAGTTAGACAGAGACAGGAAGAGACACACACACACACACACACACACTTGGGGGAGAGGGAGAGGGAGAGAGAGATAGAGAGTTTTCATTCTACTGTTTGACTCCCCAGAAGGCCAAAAAAGCCAGGAAAGGCCTAGGTCAAAGCCAAGAGCCAGCAGATCTTCTGGCAGGGACCAAGCACTTGGGCCATTTTCTGCTGCCCTTCCCAGGCACATCAACAGAGAGCTGGATTGGAAGTGGAGCAACTGGGATATGAACTGGCATCCATATGGGATGCTGGTGTCACTGTAGATGACAGCTTAACCTGCTATGCCACAATGCTGGCACCATGATTTCCATTTTTTTTTAAATGTTAGAATTTCCTTAGACATTCAATGATTCTTGGCTGTTTTTGATAAATTAGAATGAAGATACCATAATTTTGATTATTTTTGTGGTTACGAGTAAGGATTATTAACTGGGTGCCTCACTAGTTCTATCTTGTTTCACTGTGATATCCCTGATGCTAGTATCTTTTTGTCTTTCCTCCTAGGCTAATAAGATTTCCTGGAAAAACTATTTCAATTTCTTGCTTAGAGCAAGACCCTAAACAAGTAAAACTGACAAATAAGATGAAAGAACAAGACAAATTTCCAGAAAAGTATTTTAAGTGGGTCTACATAAGGGAACTATTATTTCAGCATACATAGATTTCTAAGATATATAACCTAGAACACCGGTATAATAGCTCTTAAATTGCTATGTAACTTAAATAGAAAGAGCAGGTCCTAAAATAAAATAATTAACTTATCTTGTATTTGGTCTTTAAATGTATTATTTAACCATATAAATAAAATGTTTTATTTTGAAGTGATTTTGTATAAACTGAAAGTCTACAACATGATGCTTTTATGTTTAAATACATAGTGAAATGACTACTACAGGTAAGAAAATTCTAAAATCCACCATCTTAAATAGTTACTGTGTGTATATAGGAAGAACACCTAAAATCTACTCTTAGAAAATTTCCTGTGTTGAGTATATAATACTCATAGTCATGATTAACTGTGGTCCTCATGCTATATTTTAGGTCTTTAGATTTATTCATTCTGCATAACTACAATATTTTAAGTTTTTGACAACAAAAAGAGCCATTTACAATATTTAGTTTGATCCTTTGTAAATCAGTATTACACTGCCAACAGAAAACACCATAGGCTAAAGTTTCTAAATCTAAGCACATTTTTCAAATCACACACAATGAAAATTTTATTTGACTAGTAACTTCATATCCCAGTAATTTAGTATTTTTCCTAACTATATAAAAATTAGGAGACCAAACATTAACACTCTACAGAGCTGTGAATAAAATACTGAACTTATTCTTTGTATAAGACTTGGTACTTGGAACATCTTATAGAATAATTTTTATGTAAAAATGTGTTTGACACTTCATGTAGACTGGATAATGTTGGAAAGGCAAATCATTTTTTTCTCACAATTCGTTATGTACAAAAGTATTAATGGTGTTAATGGTGATGCTTTACAAATATGGCATTTAATGTATGATATCAGCCAAAAATAATAAATTCTATAACATTTGGATAAAACTGTTACTCTAGAAAAAAAATACCATACCAAACAGGCTGACATTCTGGCATTGCGACCACAGCACCACTTCTCTTCCTTTAAATAGCGGCACATTGGAAATCCCCACGTTTCTTGAGGACATTCTGCAGATGGGTGAAAAATACATATTTAAATAAAATTCATCCCCTTTCAGTTAAAGTAAATCATCTACTGAGAAAGCAAATCAGTCACTGAGAAAGTCAAACAGTAGTTTAACATGGAAGTAGTGATGTTTAACAGTTCATTCCAGTTTGTTAATTAAAAGCATATTAAGGTTATGAAAATGGTATTTGCTCAACAACAGCTGCTTTGTGTTAAAGTTCCTGGTCTGATACCAACCAATTTACCAAAACCATTTGTCTAAGATTAAGCAAAAGCAATTTAAAATGCAAATGCTCTTCACATTCAGTGCATAGGAGATAAGTCATGAGATACTGGGCATTTATTTCTGACCTGATTCTCCAAAAAAAGTGACTTACACATGACATTTGGGAATTTATTATGGAATAACATGAATTCATTCCTAATAATGTTGAAGCCTCCATATTCACTTTTCAGAAAAATAATACCTGTACTGATTTTTATTTATTCCTTATATTAAGAGGTTATAATATTTTCAACTATGATTCACTTTGGCTCCATTGCACTTGTGATTCAAATAACTAAAGCAATAATCAGCATTCACTGCTGTGAACACTATGATAGCACAAAAAAAGAGGTGAGAATTTTCCAGGGAAACAGAATTCTGGGTTTCCTAACTGACTTCTGGTGATACAGGAAGACACTAGTAGACATATATAGGATCTCCTAATTTCAAAAGATACTGCATTGGAAATCAACAGGAGAGCAGTTATAGACTCAGCATTTGAAACTCTCACTATAGATATGGAGGCTAGAAACAAATGATCATCTTTCAGTTATGTTCCACCACCTGAGCTCATGAAAGTGATGAGGTTGGAGGAAGGTTACGGACTTCCTAATAGTTTATAAAGGTGCTATTTATCATCACAATGAAGCCTTGGAGAAGAGCACTTTTAATCTGCTTATAAGAGAGCTCTGGCTAAAATCCAAAGTGCAAAGGATAGAGGACAGCCTTACTCCCATTCAAAACATGTAGGAACTTTTTAAGATCCAAAGATAATTTGTAGAAGTGCCAAATGTGGCTCAACGCTATGTGAAGCTGTATCATTCTTTTGGACACCACAAGGTTATAAAACCACCCTGAAGTTTGTGAATCTGCATCATAATTTCCTGTGCAGTTAAGATTATGGTGGCTTCACAGCTTTGCTCTTTTTATAAAGGAGTAAGAACAGAAAACTGATAAAGAGGCAGGAAACCTTGGAAGTTAAACAAAGCCTTTCATTCAAAAATTCAATATTGTCTTGAGAATCTATTAGCTTCATTCTGACTGTAGTGAAGAATGAGTTCCCTTATGTATTCTGAAGTAAAGTCACTGAGTTTCTACCACTACCCACCAGTGTCTTAAACTGTGTTCATAGACCCATATTCAATTCTACTGCAACTGCACATTAATCACCCTTACAGCAAATCAGGTGCTTTCCTGCAGCATCTCTTCCATGATCTCCTTAAATCAGAACTTTGAAACAGATGAAGTCACTTGTTTCTTTCCTTCTATTTCTTAGTCTTTCTTGTGGGCTCCAGAAATTCATTAATCTTTTATATGTTAAGATTCTACTAATTTTCCCTTTTGTATTAATGTTTTAGTATCCATCCAGTTAAACAAACATGAACTTTAGAACCATTTTCTATTATTTCATTCTTTAATCCCAAATTCTTATATACACTTCATCTTTTTTAATTAACCTTTTTAAAGATTTATTTTTATTTATTTGAAATACAGAGTTACAGAGAGAGGTAGAGACAGAGAGAGACTTCTTCCATCTGCTGGTTCACTCCCCAGATGACAGCAATGGCCAGAGCTGCACTGATCCAAAGCCAGAAGCCAGGAGCTTCTTCCAGGTCTCCCATGTGGGTGCAGGGGCCCAAGGACTTGGGCCATCTTTACTGCTTTCCCAAGCCACAGCAGAGAGCTGGATCAGAAGAGGAGCAGCTGGGACTAGAACCAGTGTCCATATGGGATGTTGGTGCTTCAGGCTAGGGCTTTAACCCGCTATGCCACAGTGCCAGCCCCTACACTTCATCATAATTGTATTTGCTTTTTATTTTCAATCTTCATTAGCTCTTGACTAAATGAATGCAATACCTCCTTACTAGTTAATCCCCCTTTTTTGCTTTCTTTTAGTCATCCTGTCCATCCTTCATATTAAGAGTAACATTATATTTCCAAAACATTCCCATCTAACCATGTCACTCTGATAGCTCTAATTTACCTCACCACTAGCATCTCTGAAAAAAACTTAATGGGTTGAAAAATACTCATTATAGATTTTCAGGAGTGTTAGACACTCCATCCTTAAAACATTCTCACCTCTGGCTTGCATGATCCCTTAATGGCTCATTCTTTTCTATCCAGCTATTGCGTGTTGCTTTGGCTTAGTTCTGTTACTTCCCACTCCACTTTTATACTTTCTTTAAAGACTCATTATCATTAAGTAAAATGCCCACAGTTTTGTGAGAAGTGGCTAGGTTAGAATGCAGTTGGTATTGGGCTGGCACCGTGACTCACTAGGCTAATCCTCCGCCTGTGGTGGCGGCACCCCGGGTTCTAGTTCCGGTTGCTATTCTTCCAGTCAAGCTCTCTGCTATGGCCCAGGAAGGCAGTGGAGGATGGCTAGGTCCTTGGTCCCTGCACCTGCATGGGAGAACAGGAGGAAGCACCTGGCTCCTGGCTTCAGACCGGTGCAGCGTGCCAGTGTAAGTGGCCACTTGGGGGGGTGAACCAACAGAAAAAGGAAGATCTGTCTCTGTCTCTCTCTCTCTGTCTAACTCTGCCTGTCCAAAAAAAAAAAAAAAAAAAATGCAGTTGGTATTAAGTCATTTGTATGGTAACCGGGTATCCTATCTGCCTGGTACTACTACTATTTAAGGTACAAATTAGGTATAGTGAGTCTGTCCAAAGAGCCCAAAATAAATCTGTGAGGACTCTGTCAATCACAGCCAGTTTGCTACTTTTGCTCTATCTATATTCTTTCCCTAGGTTATATTATCTAAACCTAAATACATATTCATAATTCCTTATTATTATATTAGTTTCTAAGGGTTTTGGTAACTAATTACCACAGAGGGGCTTAAAACAACAGAAATTTATTCTCTCAAGTTCTGATATTAGAATTCTGAAATCCAGGGTGTTAGTTGAGCCAGGTTCCTTTGATATCCATAAGTAAGAATGGTTTAATGGCCTTCTAGGTTCTTGTGGCTACTTGTTATCCTTGGGTTGCAGCTACTTCACTTCAATATCTGTCTGCCATCACATGGCAGTCTTCCTACCGTGTGTTTCTGTCCTCTTATTTGGATTCACTGAATTTAGGGCCGACCCTATACAGTATGATCTGATCTTAATTAATTTTATTTGCCAAGGCCCAATTTCCAAATAAGATCACATTATGAGGTTCTGGGTGGACATAATATTTTGGGGGGCATTACTCAACCCACTATAATAATTAAATACATAGATAACACCATCTTCTCCAACTAGATCTACTTTAACACCTCCAATATTCTAACCACTATCTCTAAGTAGATACTTTATTGGCAGCTTAGTATCAAAATATGCCTAAAATCTAATTAACCTAAGGACTCAAATCTATATCCTACTAAGTGTCCTATTTCAATGACCCAGTAACATTTATTAATTTGCACAAGTCAAACAATTCAGAAGCCTTCTCTGAAAATTCCTCATTCATGGAATGTTTTAGAAATTCCTACTTATTTTCTCCTAAAAATACCTTAAATCCATAAATATTCTCTATATCCACCATTCCAAACTACCTGGACTGCTATGATAGTTACGTGATTGGTGTGCTAATATGTACTCTTGCTCTCTTTAATTCCAATCTCAATTATACAACCATAATAATCTTTTAACATTTAAATGTGTCATTCATTTTCCCTCTTAATAAATACTTCTTGGGGCAGGTACTGTGGCATAGTGGGTAAAGCTGCTGCCTGCAGCATATTAGCATATTAGCATCAGTTAGAGTCTCGGTTGCTCCACTTCTGATCCAGCTCTTGGCTATGCCTAGGAAACCTGCAGAAATGGCCCAAGTCCTTGGGGCCCTGCTCCCTTGTGGGAGACGAGAAGAAGATCCTGGCTCGTGGCTTTGGATTGGCCCAGCTATGGCCATTGCAGCCATTTGGGTAGTGAAGTGAACCAATGGATGAAAGATCTGTCTCTCTCTCTCTCTCTCTCTCTCTCTCTCTCTCTCTGCCTCTGCCTCTCTAACTCTTTCAAATAAATAAATAAATCTTTAACAAAAAGAAAAACTATAAATAAATAAATAAATACTTCTCCTTTTAAGATTATGACCTTGTTCCTTAACTTGATTGACAAAATCCTCTATGACCTGCTTATGCCCACCTTTCTAGTTTCATCTCCTACTTTGTTCTCTGTTTCAGCCCTTTTTGTTGTTGCACTTTCAATCTTACATATACAAACTTAGGGGTAGTTACTATACACTCAAGACCAATGGCTAATGTAAATATTCTTTAGTTTAAAAAAATAATCCAAAGCTGATGTACATATATATGCATATATATGTATATTATCCCCTCCTGTTTAAAAAAACATTTTATTCAAGTATGACTGAAGAACAAACAGCTGTGCACATTTAATGTATACAACATGATGTGTTTGGGATAAGCATATACCCCATGAAACCATCATTACAAGCAATGCTGTAAACTTAACCATCATGTACAAATTTTTCCCCTCAACCCTGTTCTTTTTTCCTTTTGCAGATTTTAAATAATATAGTATTGTATTCTGCTTCTGTGTTCATCTACTCTTGGCTGTTTATTTTACATTTACTTGAAAAGTACAGCAACACAGAAAGAGACATGTCTCCCATCTAGTAGATCACTCTCCAATTGCCTGCAACAGCAAGAGCTAGTTCAGGCCAAAGCCAGGAATCTACATCTCCATGTGGGTCTCCCAAGAGAGAGACAGAACCCCAAGCAATTCAGC